GGAGTGTTTTGTTTTTATTTTGGATGAATTGTTATGATTGGTTAATTAATTTAAATGTAAATACTCTATTGTGTCCTTTAGATTGGCTTGGCACGGAAGAGTCTACAGATTTGTTTAATGAGGCAACAGAAACAGGCCGTAATGTAGCCGTAGGTCAACCTCCTTCTAGTGGTAGTACTGTTTGCCCAAAAAGACGTAAAGTTTCAGATGTTTGGGGTCAATTTACAACATATATGGAAGACAATGGGAATGTGAGGGCAAGGTGTTTGATTTGTATTAAGTCTTATGCATATGGTAGTTTCACTCATGGGACTAAGAATTTGAGGCACCATATGGAAGGTTGTCCTAAACGTACCATTAGTAGTGTAGATCAAATGATGATGAATTGTGATACTAAATTGAGACGTTTGAGGATTTCTCAAGAAATTTATCGTGAGAAGATGGCAATAGGAATCATAAAACATAATTACCCATATTCAATAATGAAGCATGAAGGAATTAGGGATGTCCACATGTATTTGAATCATGAAGTTAAGCCTTATACTAGGAACACCACTAAGGCGGATTGCTTAAAGATATATTATAGGGAGACAGAAAAGATTAAGCTTGCTTTAGAAAAGGGTTCCTTGACTTCTGATATTTTGAGTTCTTGTACTATTGTTGTGTATATTTCTTTAACGGCTCACTATGTTGATGAGAATTGGGAGTTACAAAGTAGAATTCTTAATTTTTGCCATATTCCTCCTCCACACTCAGGGGCTCTTTTGTTAGAAATAGTGTATGATTTCTTAAAAGATTGGGGGATTGAAAAGAAAGTCTTCTCTCTTACATTAGACAATGCAAGTAATAATGATAAGATGGAAGACATTTTAAGAAGTCAACTTTGTGTGCAAAATGTTTTATTATGTGGTGGTTCTTTTTTTCATGTGCGATGTTGTGCACATATCTTGAATCTCATAGTCTAAGAAGGGTTAATGGTTAGTAGTGTGGCTTTACATAAGATTCGTGAAAGTGTGAAATATGTTAAAGGAAGTAAGGCTAAAAGAATCAAGTTTGTAGAACTTGTTAAAAAAATTGGTGTGATAAGCTCAAAAGGATTGCGAATGGATGTTCCCACAAGATGGAATTCCACTTATTTAATGCTTGAAAGTGTGTTAATATAACGTCGTGTGTTTGTTCATTTGTCACTGATAGATCCCAATTATAAAAGTTGTCCTTCAGATGAAGAATGGGATAGGGGGGAGTGAGGATTTGCAAGTTCTTGCAACCATTTTATGACATCACTGCTCTTTTTTCAGTTCCCAATACCCCACAGCAAACTTGTACCTCAGAAATGTCTGGAGAGTCAAATGCGTTTATACGAAGAGATGGAAAATGAGGATGAAGTTGTTAGTACCATGGCAAGTCAAAGGAAAGTAAAGTTTGACAAATATTGGGATTCTTATAGTGTTGTGTTAGCAATTGCAGCAATTCTGGACCCACGTTTCAAGTTTGAGTTTGTTGAGTTTTGTTACAAAAAAAAAGTTGATGGCCCAATAGTTGCATCAAGAGAGTTGGAGTTGGTCAGGTAGGAGTTGTATAAGCTTTTTGCTACTTATGAGGGTCTAAGTTGCAATGAGGTTCCCGACGATCCTTCGGTATAGACTAGTAGTCCTAATATCCTTAGAGATGATATCTATGTAAGTCACTACTCCCTAAATATTTTTATATTCTTGTGATTAATAAGGTTTTGTTTATTTTGTAATTTTGCTTTATTAAATTTAAGTATTTAAAAGGTGCAGGAATTTGACTATTACAAGAGTGACTTTAGTGTTACTAAGAAGTCCAAATTGGATACTTATTTGGGAGAGGCAGTTTGATCTCATCAAATTTTGCAATCTGGATATCCTGGACCATTAGAAGAAAAATAGTGATCGATACCCGATACTTTCCATGATGACCCGTGATGTGATGAGTATACTAATAACAACTGTTTCTTTGGAGTCCAGTTTCAGTGTTGGTAGCAAAGTGCTCAATAAATATCAAAGTTCACTTTTACCGAAGAATGCAAAGTCTTTGATATGCACAAGGACATGGATTTCTGGATATGAAGTGAAAGGTAACATTTTAACTTATATTTCACATGTTTTAATATTTTAGTTTATTAATATATTACAATAATTAACTTATATTTTGTTAATTGTAGAAGATGAAATTGATGATGCTTAGCTTGTTGTGCCGTTAAGGTAAGTGCCAGCAGAGAAGGAGATCACATAATCAAAGGCGGCTTCTAACGTCAATGTGTAATAGACTTTGTTTGTTTAGTGTATTTGGTTGAACAATTCTATATGTTTAATTGTTTAGTGTTTACTATGTATGTATGTTGAATGTTGAATAATTTTATATGTTTAGTGTTTACTAATTAGTAATTACTATATATGTTTAGTGTTTGCTAATTCTATATGTGTAGTGTTTGCTAATTCTATATGTGTAGTGTTTACTAATTAGTAATTACTATGTATGTTTAGTGTTTACTAATTCTGTATGGTGAAGTTTGATATAAATATGAAAAATATTAATAATGAATTAATGATGTTTGGTGAAATCCAATCAAATTTAATTTAATCATCTATTTATTTAATATAATTAACTAAGTTATTCAAACTTAATAAAAGAATTTTATACTAAGTTTTTAAATCAATGCAATTTTCATCTTCAAGTATGAAATTTGAATAACAAAAAATAGTGAAAAAATAACAAAAACTTGAAATTTTTTTATAGAAAATGCCATTATATACGGATGACCCATGGGTTGACTCGTACCCACACGGATGGGTACGGGTCATGCATACATAGACCCGTAAAAAAAATTGACCGGTGGACCTATGCCCGTTTCACCTGTGGCTATCTGGCCCGTACCCGCCTGGTCTGCCCATTTGCCAGGTCTAAAATTGCATGGAAAGAGAGGCAAAGTCCGGTGTTGAAGGAAGCATCAGGAAACAATAATTTTCCCGGTAATCAATAATGTTTAAATAAATAGACTTAAATATTTGTCAAACCAGAAAATGATCATATGTTAAAAAAATAAAAAAAAAATACAGGTGGTCCATGAAATCAATAAGAAATGTTTGGTATCATTATTTATTTATTTATTTTTGTGAAACACGTGGTACCATTATTGAGGAGCAGTAAACGATACCAAAATTGAACGTAATTTTATAGGCCGAACGACATGTAGCTACCCATAGTTTGCGATAATGACAAGTTGATACCTAAAAGGTTTAAAAATGACAATTATCCACTTTCTGTCCAACTCTGTTAATAAAATCTGTTTAAGGAAGGGTAATATAGTGATTTTATATCTATTAATTTTAAATTCATCAATAAATCCCTAAACTTTTTTTATCATATTTTTTTATTTCATTTTTCTCTTCTCTCTCTTATCTTCTTCTTCATCTCTCCCTTCTCTTTCTTTCTTTTTCTCCGTCTTTTGACTCTTTTCCCTCCTCCCCTTCTCTTTTTTACTTTTTCTTATCCCTCTTTTCCCTTCTCTCTTTCCTTTCTTCTCCAGTTCTTCGTCTTTTCCCTCCCCCCTTCTCTTTTTTTCCTTTCTTCTCTCCCTCTTTTCCCTTCTCTTTCTTTCCTTTCTTCCGTCTTTTCCCTCCTCCCTTCTATTTCTTCCTTTCTTCTCGGTCAGGACCTCCACCACTCAAACTCGCCACCAGAACCACCAATACAACCATCCACCACCACCACAACCACCACACAATTTCAAACACTTCCAGCCCAACCGTAAAAAGTTATAAAATTTGAAAAAAATTAAAAATTAAAAAACTGAAGAGAAAAGACCACCAAATACAACCATCACCATCACCACCGCCACAAACCACCACAAGTTTCAGACACTTCCAACCCAAACTATAAAATTATAAAAATTTTAAAATTTTAAAACTGGAGAAAAGACGGGTTCTTGCCAGCGACCAAAGGAAAAGAGGGAGAAGAAAAGTTAAACAGAGAAGGGAAGGGAAAAGACGAGAAAGACAAGAAAAAAAGAACGAGAGGAGGGAAAAGATGGAGAAGAAAGGAAAGAAAGAGAAGGAAGAGGGAGAAAAGAAAAAAAGAGAAGGGGAGGAGGGAAAGAGGGAGAACTGGAGAAGAAAGGGAAGAGAGAAGGAAAAGACGGAGAGAAAAGTAAAAAAAAGAAGAGGGGAGAGGGAAAAGACGGAGGAAAGAAAGAAAGAGAAGGGAGAGATGAAAAGAAGATGGAAAGAGAGAGAAAATAAATAAAAAAACTAAGGGATTTATTGATTAATTTAAAGTTAATGGGATAAAATTACTATATTGCCCTACACTTAAACAGATTTTATTACACAGATAGACAGAAAGTGGTAATTGTCATTTTTAAACCTTTTGGGTATCAAATTTTCGTTATGGAAAACTATGGGTAGTGCATGTCGTTCGGCCTAATTTTATATCCAGATTTTCTGTCTGCCACTTGCATTAGCTGTGCCCTCTATTGATTAATAATAATAACTAACTTATTGATCCACTGAGCTGGCAATTTATATTAATTAAATAGAGGAAAGTGATGATTTTGATAATTTTTATCCTATACGTGGAAGTGTTCAAGTGGTTGGATAATGTGAATATTTACTATATTGCCCTTGAAGAAAGTAAACTCTAAACGTGTGTGACTATCATATCCATATAAAAGGAAGCCAAACCAATTGGCCCATAAGATTTATCATTTAGTTCTATATAGAGGTATGCAAGTTCAACTTTTCTTCTCTATCTTTCTTATGTTAGATTATGTTATTTTGAAATTAATCAAACTTTTTGCTGTAATTTTTGAAAAAGGTGCAAGGAGAGATGGAAATGGACTTATCAGCAAAGTTTCCAAAAACCATTTTTGAGAGAAGGAGGATCATACAGCATTGTCAAGTAGTGAATTTTCTTTGCTTGCTGAGGTCAAAGTGGTGGTGGTTTGCTTGTTCTTAAGCCTGGGATTTGCTCTTCCCATTATGCTGTTCAAGAAGCTAGGTTATGTTCTTCAGGTAAATATGGCTTTTTTTTATTTTTCTCTTCTTCTTCTTCTTCTTCTTTTGGTCTTTTGGTTTAATGTTGTTGTTAAAGAATGAATAATTTTCTAATGACCAATTTTTATAAGGAGGAGATCTATATTTTTATGTCATGTATTAAAATATAAGAAAATTATTTAATTTTGTTCAATATGAAAGATGGAAGGTCAAGATCAAACGCTATCCCTTGAAGTAGAGTTCACAGACACACATTGACACAAAATTGAGAAGAAAGAAATTCGATTGATTTCAGATACTGTAATAGAATACAGTGATAATGGCGGGATGGTTGTTATAAAACCATATAGCCGTAGGGAGACGTTGCCGTTTTGGTACAATTGAAATAGTCCTAAAACTTTATATTTTAACAGTTTACCCTCTGAACGGAAAAATGAAATCCTGTGTCGCTGCTTAACAGCATTCAACAGTCAACACAATATATATAATATATATATTATCATATTTAGAAACGATTTTTTCATACATTTTTTAATCTTTCAGCAAAATAAAAGATTTTATTGTTTTATTACATGCTATGATTTTGTCTGAAATTATTAGGATATATGTGAATGAAATAAAAATTTTAAATTTGTAGTCTATTTACTTAATAAATAAGTGATGTAGCATTTTTTTTTTTTAATGACCTCATCCAAACCAAAGTAAAATAACAAAAGTTATGGACACCCATAATGATGATATCACCATTTGCTTTCAAAACTTAATGGGTATTATCAATTAGTTTGAAAGACTGAAAAAAAAAATACAAAATAAGAGTTTGAAAGTCAAATATAATAAATATTTTATTGTATTAAGAGTATAGAACCAGGCTCATAAAATTCCTAAGTAGATCTTGACCTGACTTCATGTACTTCTCTTATAAATTTTTAGTATTATCTTATTTTTACAGGTGAACATGGATCAGTTGGATTGACATTATCCAATCATGAAGCAAATTCAAAAGAAGAGATAGTCTTAGGCCTCCAAGCAGGCGATGTGATTCCTGTGCCCCTTAGTGCAGTTTCATGGTGGTACAATTATGGAAATTCAGATGTGGTCATATTATTTTTGGGTGAAACATCTACTACCTATGTTCCTGGTGAATTCTCTTACTTCTTCTTAACAGGAGCCCTAGGTAGCCTGGGAGGATTCTCCTCTGATTTCATTAGTAAATCCTATAATATAAGCGAAACCGACGCGAAAATGCTAGTACAAAGCCAAACCGGCACCTTGCTTGTCAAGTTAAGTCCTGAAGAAGGACAAAACTTGCCATTGCTCACAAATGATAACAAATGGGTTAAAAACATTGGTAATATTTTGCCCGATATCAATGTCAAGAAGGCCGGTATAGCTACTTCATTTACAGGGGTCAACTTCCCTTTTCTTGAAGAAGTTGGGCTAAGTTGCAATCTTGTAAAACTTGAAGCAAATGCCATGCTTTCACCAATGTATAATATTGGTTCCATAGTTCAGGTACTTTATGTTGCCAAAGGAAGTGGTAAGGTTCAAATTGTGGGAATGAATGGTAAGCGTGCCCTGGACAGCAACATTGTTGCTGGTCAACTTCTCATTGTGCCAAGATTTTTCGTGTTTTCTATAATTGCAGATGACGAAGGAATAGACTGTTTTTCAATCAAGACAAGTACACGGTGAGAAATAATACTCTTATGCCTTGATCTTGAATTATAAAAAGATTGTGTCAAAGTTATAAACTTTTTTCTTTTTAATTAATTTTTTTGTAATGTATTTGTATAAATTGTTAACATATATATATATTTTTTTGATTGTAATTTTGTTTACAGGCCTAATGTTGGAGAATTAGCTGGTAAACAGTCAGTGCTGAATGTGCTTCAGTCCACAGTTCTAAAATCTGCCCTGAATGTGACTCCAGAGTTTGCAAATTCTTTCAAGGAAAAGATGGCCGAGAGCGAAATTCTTATCCCTCCAATGAATTAAAAGACTACTTGATAAGATTGAGTATTATCTCATGACTAAAGGCTTTTATGTTTAATTGAAATAAAGGTTGTAATTTGATTTTGTTGTAATATCAAACATTTTTATGTTGTTTAATTTATAATAATGATCAGCTTTAAATAGTTATTCTGTCTTACGAACTATTTTTATTTTTGAAGAAAATTATTTTGTATATAAATGAATATATATAATAAGTAAAATTTTATTAAATCAATAGTTGGTTAATAGAAAAACAATACTGGACATTTTTTAAGTGTATTTATTATGTGATTTTGCATAACTCGATCGGATAACTTTTTTTTTTTTTTTTTTACATATTACATAGTTTATTATTAGATTACATAGTTTATTATAAAGATGTTTTAGGTATAAATTGAATATTTAAAAAACTTTAATAGTGGTCGTTATATCTTGAAGAAGTGGTAGTGACATTATTGCAATTTCGGACAATTGAAACTTGTGTTAAAGCACTGGATTTTCAAGAAGTTTCTTCTTAGAAGTACATTCTATTTCAATCACGTAGTCGCATGTCTATCCAACTTCTAGACGTGCACGCTGCCCAAAAATATACGTCAGAAACACGACGACACATCCCATTTACCCACGTCTCTTTTAAGCGTCTTTTAGCTTAGACACACGCACATGGCTTTCGTGACTAATATTAGTGGCTGTTAATAAAGGAAAAAAGAAAAAAGGAAACGAAAGTAATAGCCATACGTTATGACTTGTATAACTCGATACAAGATATTTTAGAGTTTGGACAAAGTTCGTAGAAGATAATTGAGTAATTTTTCTTTGCTGACAAAAAAATATGTGAAATTAATTTATATATCGTCCGGATATTAAATAAAAATATGGAAATTATTCTTATTCTTAATTATATTAAAATGTGATTTTTTTTCTTTATTATTAAGATTGTATTATTATTTGTAATATTTTATATTCTTACATAATTACTACATTTTTGTATAAATAGATTGTATATTTATAATTCAAATTAAATAACTCAATACAATTAAATTGAATTTCTGGTATTCTTTAACTCTCTTCAATTACGTTTTTTGTCCTTTCAATTTTGAAACATAAATTATCATATCAATTGTGATACAAAGTTGGATTCTCAATTTTATTTATGTAACGATATTAATATATTATTGTAAATATAATTGCACTATAATATTTTGAAGAATTGAATCTTGAATTGATGCATCCCATTGGTGGAAGTCTTCCTTTTAGAAATACAGTCTATAATTCAATCACGTAATAGCATTTCTATCCAACTTCTAAACGACCACTTTGACCAAATGCAAACAATGCATAAATGTACTATTTGAGAGAGTCCCAGTCTTCACATGTACTGTTTAAATGTCTTTTAGCTTCCGAAACAAATCCATATATAAATATTATGCTCTTTCAAACTAAGTAACTTTATTTTAAAAATAAATATGATTTGAGGGGACAAAAAATCTCTTAGTTTGAATAAAAATCAGAATATTTGATTCGCAAATTAATAAAATAAAAAGGAAATAATTTCATGACCACACATTATATGATGACTTACAAATTAAATCTCTAAGGGCAAAAATAATAAAATACTTATACTTGTACACAAAGTAAAATATCCCGAGGATAATCCTTAAACTAGGAAGTAGAATCATATTTGATAACTCAATATTCATACGGAAAAGTCTCACACTGAGCGTTCCGATTGAAAGTTGCTCGCAGCCGATATTAGCCTCTGCCCATTGTTCTAACGGTGCTTTCTTGCAAAACTTTGCTATTTCTTGTAGCCATGCTGAAGTCGACAGAAGCTACAAAGTTAACCATCCAATTGTAGAATGGGAAGATCGTTGTGTTTTTGAAGGGCAAGACTGTAACTTCCAGCTTGGTGTAAATTTTGGCATCAACATAAGTGATCAGTCATTAACTCATAAAATTTTAAAAAGTGATTAATCGCTCTTTGAATATATAGATTAAATATTTTTAAATATCAATAGGACTTCGAAAATTTTCGACCTTTAGCCAAATTTTGATTGCTTAAAAAGGTACTAATTAATACAACTGTTGCGATGTAGTTAGTGTGTGATTAAGAGCAAATGAACACATGCACATGTGTTAAAATTCAAGTAAATTGATATATTAGAATATCCTATATTCATATGAAAGAGGTGAGATTGATTTCACATTTTTCTAGACCAAAATGGTCGAGATTCTTCAAGTCCTAAGATAAGGAGTATGTGAATGTTATACGTCGCTATAGAACTAGCACGATAGTAATAGGGGTTGAGGGTTTGGATACTTGCCTAAATTCATCGGAACCAAAACCAGTCGGTCCCTTGGATTTGAAATTGGAACTAGAACTAGCCATTTTTTATTCTTGAATTCCTAGAATCGAAACCTAGAACACAGGTTTTGATTCTCATTTCAGGTACCAAGGAAAATAATATTACCCCCCAACTTTTTTGAAATTTGACAAAGATGCTTTATGAAAATTACAAATACACCCCAAAATTAAAATTACATATAATATTTTTTTCTCTCTCCTCACTCACTAATTCCTCTCATTTTCCCCCACTCTCTTTTTGCTCTGTCTTTTCCTTTTTCCTTCTCCCTCTCTTTTCTCATAGAAACCTAGATCTTAATTATAAGGAGGTCGACCACAAGCAAAATTGCTGGTGGTGACAAGGTGGCCAATAGCTCAAGCTGTCGGTAACCTTGCTACTGTGGGTAGCAACAAGCTTACTAGAAAGGTTGTATAAAGGTCGGGAAAGTCTCAATTCAATAGTTATGGTTTTTGATTTTGCTTATTTGGGTGAAACTGTTGGAAGGTTGTATAGTTGATTTTGCTGGTTTGGGTGTATTTGTTTGCAGGTGTAAATTTCCATTACTCAAGAAAAAATAGAAAAAAAAAAAAAAATTTGATGGCTTCTGTTATTTATGGTTGTTGCTAACCGTGGTGATCAAAAGATTTCAGAAGATTTTTTCTTTGTGATTTGATTTTTTTTTTTTCTTTTTGATTTGGTTTGTGATTAAGAGATCTGGATTTTTGGTTTTGTGGTTTGGTTTGTGATTTAATTTGGTAATGTGCGGTTCCTACTTGGGTACACGAATCTCGGTTCCAGTTCTAATTCTTGGTTCTTGCAGTGGTGGAACCAGAACCGAAACTGTATAGTGCTGGTTCCAATTTTTGAGAATTGGAACCGACTCTGTGACAATGGTTCTGGGTAGGAATCGGAACCGACATCCTAGATATCCGCCGTTCCAGTTCTACACTAAGTTTTTGTCCACCCCTAGATAGAAATGTGTAGTGAGACCAGCTGCACAACCCCCCAAATTATATGAATTTACAAAGAAGAAAATGTCCCCGATGTTCAACTTCCAACGTGTATTTGTTCATTTCAATAATTTCTAAAGAACTGCCCTTCCATTTCTCACAAACCATTTTATGTAATGAGACATGCGGTCAATTTCGTGACCAGTTTAAATTGGCTTAATTAATGGGCGGCAGGACTGTCTATAAATAATGTTGGTTCTTTATGAAGTTTGTGGTCATAACCAAAGGTATATACGAATGAGAAATAAGTGATAGCCTAAATCCTTTTAACTTTCCTACAATCTTTCATTGTTTTAATTTAGCCCTCTTAGTTTAAGTTTCTTTTAATTAGAAGATCATATATATATATAATTGGATTGATTCTATTCCTAAATAGGAATAGATATATTCCTATTCCAAATGGGGAATATTTTGTTCCCACTATATAAAGAAAGGAATAAGTTAGTTGAAATTGATTTGAAATTAAAAATACATCATTAGAAACTTTTAAGTTTTAACCTTGAATTGATACATATGAAATATTTAAAAGTTAAAACAATATACTTGAAATATTTTATGTAACACTTGAAACTATTAACCTTGTATTTGAAATACAAAAGACTTGGTTTCCATAACAAGATAATTGAAATTGTCATTAGAAATTTGTAACACATAAATAGTGTTTGAAACTAAAGATAATATAAATGAGCTATACAATATAAAACTTGAAAATTTTGACATTAAACATGAAACTAATAAAATGAACTTGATGAAAAGAAAAATTAAATTGAAACTAGCATGATACTTGTTATGCCTGAAAAATATAGGGCTGACGTAAGGTCTAGTCAGCATGCAAAAGTCAGAGCATAGGTACACCTACAACCGAGTCACGTGAGGAAAGGAGTAGCTTGCTTCTGTCAGAATAGTAGGTGAGCACCAGACCAGCCAAAAGCTGTGGTGATTCCACGTGTCCAATCCCTGCTTCAAATCGCGTAAATCACTCTAGAAGGTGGGCAATGTGACATAAAGAAGGATTTGTACACTTAATCCCACCAACTCACAGATTCAGTAATCATTAGCCCAATGTATCCCGCTATAAATAGAGAGCTCCTCTCCCATTCAAAGGATGGGCTCATTTTTACTCTTAATTAGTTACCCTCTCTCTCTCTCTCTCTAATATAACTCTCTCTCTCTTGTACTATCATTGGTAAGTCAGTCCGCTAACGCAACCTGACCCTTATCATTAATGTAAACATCAGTGGACGTAGGACTTGCTACCTTAGCATCCGAACCACTTTAAAAGTTATCCCATTGCATTTATTCTCATTTTTCTTGTATTCACGTGTGTCTTTTGAGCCAGCTCAGCATTACACACGTACGTTTAGTTGGTGTAAAAATCATGCATCAACAGTTTGGCGCTAGAGGAAGAGCTGATTTAGTGTTCATCCTTCATCAGGAGAATCTCTAACTTACCAGTCCTACAACGGCAAATGGCCCACCAACCTGAACTTGAGCGAACCAACCAGGGTGCTAAGGGGATCCCCCAAGTTCAGGGGGACACCTCTTCCAAAATACCTTCAGTTCCGCAAAATGCCGTGGGGGATATCCCGTCAAGTTCACAACTTGACCCTGCCATTAGAAACTACCTGGAGAGGTTCAACAATACTCTCCAGACAGTCAACCAAATGTTGGACTGTTTGGACCAAGGCGTGTCATCAAAATCAGTTGGGGCGGTGCAACCGCCAAAAAGGCCTGCCAGTTGCGCAAAAGCGCGGCAAAGGAAAATAGCCCATGCCGCGAGCACTACAGCGTG